GAGAGAGAGAGAGGGGGGAGAGTGTGTGAAAGAGCGAGAGAGAGGGGGAGAGAGAGAGAGAGAGAGAGAGAGAGAGAGAGAGAGAGAAAGGGCGGATGAGCGACAGCGAGAACGAGAGAGATAGAGACGGGGATAGTGGGGGTATATATAACCCTACTCTATAGTGATTTCACATCGGATGGAGATAAGTTGGCCGAATGACGGCTTGACAGTTTACGATGACTAGTCGTGTTATACGTCGTAATTTGCGGAGTGGCTGACTTGAAGACTGTACAGTCAATTCGTCCTCCCTCGCTGCATTTATTTAAAAATCGTGACATTTAGGTAACCATGTAAATTTTGTAAGCGTAAATAAATTTCAAAAAGAAAAAAAGACGCATCGTCGACAGCTACCTGCTTTCCGAGGAGATAGCGTTGTGCAGACGCTTGTCTCTGTGCATGATGTCGCTGGGTGGGGGCGGCACGGCGGCCGGGGTTCGCCCCACACTACCCAGCGGCAGAAAGCTGCGCTGGAACAGGCTGCCGTACCGCTGACCGTTAGCCTGCAGGTCAGGCTCCAACGCAAGCCTGCTGCAGCTCATCGTGTGCGAGTTTACACCTATACTGCTTGCGTAAGTGGTTCGACCGATCAGTTCAAGTCTGTAAACAACGGGAGGTGGAAGGAAAAAAGTTATCTGCCAGTGGGAAAGTAAGAGGCGTATATAGGAAATTATAAATGTAGAAATATATGGGAAGGCAGTGGTAGGCCTATATATAGGAATTCCTCGGGAGGGGGAAGACTACGGCGATGTAAACCGCTGCACGTTGCGGGTGAAGGATGACCTTGGGGGGTCATGAACCCAGCTGTATAGTTCAGATAGTCGCGGAGTAGGTTTGTCTTAGTATATATTATATTATAATAGAATTATAATATATTATATATATATATAATATATATATTATAATATATATATTATATATTAATTATTATATCTTGTCTTATTTATTATATTTTATTAAGGTATTGTCTTATTACACCTTTGAGAAACACATTTGGACTTTCTATAGTAAGACACTACGCATTATAGTAATCGAGTTTATTATAAGTAGTTTTAATAATTTGCTAATTTAATTTTATGACAAAAAATTGTTTTTCCTGTCTTCTTATAAGTGATAGCAGTCATTGTTGTTAGCAATAGTACATTATAACAGTGAAGATTATTGCAATATAGCTAAAAATGCGCCACTGCTGCTGTGTATATTAGTTTGGCACTATCAATAGAATTACCTACCATAATCACAGCATTTGCTGAGAAATTTTGCCAGTTGACTCACGTGTTTAATTTGCACGGTAAACTCATCAAGAGATCTTGTTACATATAGGCATACATAAGCTGGCGACTACACTCTCGTATCTATGAGACACTGTTGCTATGGCAACGAATGAAGCGCAACAATGGCTAGTTTATAGACAAACGGGGATGTTCTTTCTTTGTGCTTTGCGACTACATTACCACTAACACACTGACATAACAGGAAACAGTGTAGATTTTTCAGAATTAGTGTAGGAGAGGCCGTGTACACGCCTACCTACAGGATATCTTACGCAAAATGAATCTATTTGTAAGGCTATTCTACACAGAGCCGACAAAATTTGATGGTGAGGAGCTTGCAATTAAGCTTGATATATCTGTTACCAATGCAATGTACTAAAAACTACTACCAATGTTAATAAACAAATAAATAAATAAAATAAAGCTAAATTGTGTTCGGAACTTATGGAAATTATTATAATAAATTACGAGGTGAATAATAATAGAAGGTTAGCTAGTATGTAGGCTTATGGTAGAAGTTTCTGATTACGGTATATATCTTCCAATATTAAGGATATGCGAAAAAACATGAAATCACGACGAGACAAAAAGAATGAAGACTCACGTAAAATCTCAAATTAAAATTAGCAACATTTATTAAAATGCTTTGCAAAATAATGCATCTCTCTGATCACTAAAATACATACGTACCGCAACAGCGACGAGTGAACAATGAACAGTGAACAAACGCACTAGCTGTTCGCAGATCATTGATTCCAAACGTCTATAACCGCTCTTCTGGGCAGTGGGCAATGCACGGAAAGTTGATATGGCTAGCTAGAAACACAGACGTTGAGCAATGTTGGCCGGAAATGTGGCCAGAGTAACTCTGTTAGCACGAATGTGCAGACGGGCACATTTATTCCCGTGTCAACGTCTACAATGATAATGCAAGGCGGTGTACACGTATCTGGCTATATGTAGTAGACACGTATACAGCTCGTATCGAGTGACCAGCTGGCATTCAGAAAAGCAACTCAAAAATCGACTAAATGGGTTAGAATGAATCCGGCTTGAGACTATATCACGTTTGAATGATCTACAATATTTATATATACTTGCTTTTGCCGCAGCTTCTGAAAGAGCAATGTGCGAAATATCGTGATAGGCTACGGTAATGTATTTGCATTGCACTCCTTATTGGCATCGTGTGTTAATTGTTGCATATCTGCATTACAGTTAAGGTGAGAGCTCCATGAAGTTGTGAGCACCAACAAACCTACGCATTAGTCTGCACCCGAAACAGTACACACAAGAGATCATCATATCATTTAGGATTGCACCACAATATAAACGCTGTACATGTTACACTGGAAATGGGGGAAAAACAACAACGAGTATCTGTACCGCCTGTGTGTTAAATATTAAATACAACATAAAGACATTTAATTCGATGTTTCTTATATTGCGTAACACACGTGGTCCCTCCCTATCCCTTATTTCAATTTCACGACCACTTTGTGAATAATAAACGGGCGGCTTTATTAGGGATATTAAAACCGTTCATTGGTAATCTCTCCGTGGCACTTTTCCTCTTCTTCAGCATCCATATATGTCTGTGCGTGCGTGTGTGTGCCGTTAAAACGTCTGTCGGGGTTAAACGCGCCATTATAGTATCTCAATCGTGTGGCAATACAGAAATATAGAATTCGCGAGTATTATCACTGGATGGCTGACTGACGCATCATCGACAGCTTACGTCACCCTAACAGCTTCCCTGCATTCAGTTAACACTCACGTAGTAGTTGCACTCACGCCACTAGAATGCTTTCACACGGGAACTTTTCTCATCAGCGCGTCTCACGTTGCAGCACCACATCTCTCAGTGTGCCGACGTAGCGTGGTGTCCCCTGCGTCACCCCGCCTAGGAGCCGACGTAGCGCGGTGTCCCCTGCGTTACCCTGCCTAGGAGCCGACGTAGCGCGGTGTCCCCTGCGTCACCCCGCCTAGGACGTAGCGCGGTGTCCCCTGCGTCACCCCGCCTAGGACGTAGCGCGGTGTCCCCTGCGTCACCCCGCCTAGGACGTAGCGCGGTGTTCCCTGCGTCACCCCGCCTAGGAGCCGACGTAGCGCGGTGTCCACTGCGTCAACCCGCCTAAGACGTAGCGCGGTGTCCCCTGCGTCACCCCGCCTAGGACGTAGCGTGGTGTCCCCTGCGTCACCCCGCCTAGGAGCCGACGTAGCGCGGTGTCTACTGCGTCAACCCGCCTAAGACGTAGCGCGGTGTCTACTGCGTCAACCCGCCTAAGACGTAGCGCGGTGTCCACTGCGTCAACCCGCCTAGGACGTAGCACGGTGTCCCCTGCGTCTTAACAGTCCTCATCTGTATGGTCGAGACATCTGGGCCGCCGCTCTACAACTTCAGCAGCGCCCCCTGCTAGCCCTCATCACGCAGGAGCCGATGTCACGTGGCGTCACCGTCCTCATCGTCATCTTCGTCCGTCATGCCGAGAAGGTCGGGTCGCGCATAGACGACGTCGGCTAGTCGCCGCGTCGACCCGTAGCCGTTCGTGTCTGAGCCGCGGCACATTGTTAGCTGCGCAGCGTCGAGTCCAGGGTCGCACGTCTTATCATGGTAGATGTGAACGAGGCCGGGGTCGGGCGCGCGCACCACCGTCACGTTCCCCGAAGCGAGGAAACGCTCAAAGAGGTCAACATCCTCGCGACCCCAGCCCTCGATCGTCAGGTCGAAGCCACCAACAACGTGCAGGTCGGAGTTATACACGCAGGCGATTCCGTAGCCAAACTCACGCCAGTATCCGACGTCGTCGTCGATGCTGAACACATCTCGCTCTTCGCCCGCGTCGACGGTGCGCGGGTTATACTGACTGAACACGATCGGGAAGTAGACGCTGACGCCGCGGCGTGCGTTCAGTCTCGCGCGCTCGAGGAAGTCGCGACTGAAGTAGATGTCGACGTCGACGAAAAACAGGAGGGCGTCGGCGCGGCGCAGGCGGGCGCCAATCTGGAGTGCGAGCCCGCGGGAGAACGCGCCGGCAGCGTGCACGGTCTGCAGGTCGTAGCGCGGGTACTTGGCGCGCAGCGTCGCGACGGCGGCAACCGTGTCGTCGCGCCGGTCCTCGTACGCGTGCGTGAAGAGGATCACGGCCAGCGTGACCCGCTCCTCGCCGCGCAGGCACGCGCTCTCAAAGTTGCTGAGGAAACGCTTGAACGTCGTGTAGCGCCCGGCGAGCGGCAGCACAAAGTGCACCGTCGTCTGTGCGCCGCCCGCAGCCGCCGCCGCCGCCGTCGGAAGGTCCGCGTCACCGCTGTTGAAATCGGCGCCGTCGCGCGGCGGCGCCCCCTGGTGTTCGCTCGGCGGCGGGCTCGGGTCGGGCATCTCCTCGCGGAACTCAGGCGCGGTGAACGCCTGCTGGATGTATGCGTGCCGGCGCACGGGCACGGTCATCTTGCGGCCGGCGTATTTCTTGTAGGTGAGCAGGATGTCGACGATGTAGTCGGCACCGTGCCGCGGGTCGTGGCGGTAGTAGCCGTACAGGATCTCGCGGAAATCGATGACGCGGCCACGCTGCCGCGAGTGCTTGTTGATCATGAACATCACCTACCGAGCAAAACCCGGATAGATCAAACATTAACATCACCTAGGCTACCGAGTAAAACACGAATAGATCAAACATGAACATCACCTACTGAGCAAAACACGGATAGATCAAACATGAACATCACCTACCGAGCAAAACATGAATAGATCAAACATGAACATCACCTACCGAGTAAAACACGGTTAGATCAAACATTACCATCACTACCGAGCAAAACACGGATAGATCAAACATGAACATCACCTACCGAGCAAAACACGGATAGATCAAACATTAACATCACCTACCGAGTAAAACACGGTTAGATCAAACATTACCATCACTACCGAGCAAAAAACGGATAGATCAAACATTAACATCACCTACCGAG